GACACTAAACCGGCCGGCGGGATTGTTTGCCTTAGTAAGGCCAGATAAAGAGTTCAGGGGAGGCGAGGGAAGGGTTGGCTTGTTCCCTTCTGCACCAACACCGAGAATGTGGTGGTTTGCCTAGATTAGGAAAATGAGTGTCAACAGGTGGCGACTGGTATGAGCTATGGTCGCCACCCTGTTACTTCACCCCAGCCCCTGCAAACCCGCTCAGGCCTTGCAAGGTGATCACAGGTCACAACGTGAGGTGTATTCCACACAGGCGTTGCCTTTTGAAGGACTTTGTGTCCTCCTCGAAAACCCTACATTTATCTCTTGGGTTTTTCAAATGCACCCGGGAGGGAAAGGGAGATCCTTCTCAGGATCTAAATGGCTGGCACTGGAGGAGACAGAGAATTTCCTGTGGCTGAAATCTTAAGTATAATGAGAATATCCTCATTGTCATGTGTTAGCTCAATTCTCAAAGTCTGCGGGTTTTAAAAAATTTCCTTAAATATTTTATTTTTATTGACTACATGCTCATTTTCAGTAGTAGATACCCTCTGCAGGAGTTGCTCTGGTCTCAGGACACAAATTTATATCTTCCACTGTTGTCCTGTTCCAAGTATTTTAGTCAACATCATCTTTTCAAAATATGTCTGATTGGGATGCCTGGGGGGCTCAGTTGGGGAAGCATCTGTCTTCACCTTGGGTCATAATCCCAGGGTCCTGGGATGGAGTCCCACATCCGACTCCCTGCTCAGTGGGGAGCCTGCTTCTCTCTCTCCCTCTGCCCCTGCTTGTGCTCTTTCTCTCTCTGACAAATAAAATCTTTATAAAAACAAAACAAAAAAACCCCGGAATATGTCTGATCATGCCACTTCTCTGCATCCTGCTGCAACATCTGCCCCTGCTCCTTCAGCCTGTCTTATGCTATTGTCCATGCTCTAGGCACACAACAGATCAAAGTCTGGAAATTTGCAGAACACATGGAAGGAATGGTCTCAGCCCTCAAGGATCTTACAGTCTCTAGGGGAGACACCATGCCAAGGACCCTCCACGCCCTTCACACTGAGAAGCTTTACAAGGATCACAATTACACAAAGGAACATTCAAATGGGGTCATTGGGGTTGCACGGTGGCTTCAAATAGTCATACACTTGGGTTTAATTCTCAGCCTCATCATTGGACAGAACACTTATGTACAGAACAGTATTCTGAAATACCAACTGAGACCTTCTCCACCACCACCACCACTCCATTTCCTTGGTCCTTGCTCCATGAAGGCAGCTGGGGTATTCCTCATTCATTGTCTCAAAGGAAGAGGGGGTCTGGCAGAACCTCTGGCAGAGACAAACACGGGGCAAATTTTGGCTTGCGAATTGTGAGCACTTGGGGGTTGGAAAGAACGCCACACAGGCATGATAGATTTGGGAAGGTGGCACGGGTGAGTAAGAATGAAGCCTCCAGCCTGAGGCCAGATTTAAGTCCCCTGGGTTTAGGGGCAAGGATAAGGCAAGTGGGGCTTGTGGGAAAAGCCAGAAGAGGCAACTGTTACGGGATTTGGGGAAAGCGTTGCGCCAAAGCCTCCTGGAGAACAAGTGGGAACGGTGAGAAGCCCCAGCTAGGGCAGAGGCATGCTTGCTCTTTTGCCTTGGTAGAGCCCCACGGGAGTCATGAGACTCCAGGTGGCATGGAATGTCTGAGCACCTCACACAGAATTTCCCATGGCCCAGTGTGATGCCGTGACAACATGGGGGTTCCTGTTTCTGAGGGGCTCAGAAACAGCTGACAAAGGTCTGGATACCAGGAGGCCCTGAGTGGGGAATGGAGGATGGTTCAGGAAGCGTGGATCGCCAAGTTGAAGACAAG